CGGGGAGGCCGCGCACTCGCCGGGCACTTCCTCCAACATCTTGTCAATCATCTGGCAAGGGAATAACCGAAAGGATTTTAAATGTTGCCACTGAAACAAGGACTATCAGTGGTTTCTAGTGGCACATAGCCTTTTCTGGGATAGTATCGTCTACCGAAACTTAGGGCCCGCGCCCCTCGATCGCCCCTCGATGTGTCATTGGCTGTGTAGGGCACATTTTCTCTGGACTTCAGACCTGGAACCTCATAGTGACGAAATAGCTGGGAACTTTTTGAAAATTTTTCTATACGCCACACCTGCCAACAGTCAGATCATCCATCTGCCAGACCGGCGTGTAGCAGATTATTCTTTTACTTTGCACACCTCATTCAATCCCCCCTAAACACAGTGCCATCAATATTCGCCCAAATACGCGACTAGGTGCCTTAAAAGCACAGGTTGAAGAGGTATTACACTAATAATGGATTACGCAACGGATGGGCACTTTGAGCCATTTCAGCTGACCTAACATCTGACCTCTCAAACTTCACGGGTAAGCATAAGGATGCAATCTTCAAGGTCATTGCACTAGCAGACGGCTAGCTGCCTGCCAGTGCGATAGGGACGTTCATTCGATATTTTGAATTCCCCTTAGGAGTATTAATTACGTGACAGGAGAATTACCAGCAAGTATTGCAGTTTGCGGTTTGGCGTTTTTCCACTCAAAATATGCGAATTGTCGGTCCATTACAGGGCGGACTTGGTATTAGATATGCAGGACTGTAGAGTTTGGTAGGCAGTCAGCATGCTGAAGTGCTGGTCGGTCGGATTTTCGTTCAATTGTCAAACAATCTAGGCAGAAAACATTACCGACAATGACAAAAGAGACTGGGCTGGCCATTCCTGGTTGATTTGCCATAATCAGCCAGTCGTATCAACGCCTAACCGATCAGTCAGCGCCTATTCCCGATAGAAACTGACGAGGAAACGAGTCCATAACTTAATGGTTAGAACTTTGGACTTCTAATCAACATTATTAGGAGGATTTTGGCAAATTTGAATAATTCAGTTGGCTCAATTGTGAAAAATTCACGGCCTCGACAGGAGCCGAACCCACACACCAGGAAAGGTTTTGCGCAGCCAACGCCCTACCACTGAGCTACGAGGTTAACCGTAAGTCGTGAATTTAATCACAGCCTACTGCCTTCCCTACTGTGTGGGTTCGAATCCCAGCGAGACCGCACATTTTTCACAATTGAGTCAACTGAATTCTAATCAACAGGTCGCACGTCCGAGCCACGGGGGTGTACATGGTTGTTTGATGTCAGCCAATAAACCACACCTTGCCATTCCAGTCTCCCTTACCTGTACCAGTAATCTGCCGAAAATATTAACTGCTGTGCGACTGTGGATGGAGCCCGAGTGTGAGCCACAATGCAGTTCGGGAGGAACCTAACCATTCGGTGAGGGCCCATTTACTAATGTCAAGCATTCACCGACTACGAGACTGTATGAGTGTCGCACTCCCCACACATACCGCCTCAGTGCCAAAAAGCCACATCTGAGTTTGCTTTTTTGGCAGGAGTTTCCTTGGTAGCGCACATATGTTCTTATTTATATTTAAGTGCCTACACAATTTATTTCTGTTAGGGTTAGGGTAAGGGTTAGGGTTAGAATAAGTGTTAGGGTTAGGGTAAGAGTTAGGGTAAGGATTAGGCTAAGGGTTAGGTTTATGGTTAGGGTAAGGGCTGGAGTTAGGGTTCGGGTAAGGGTTAGGGTAAGTGTTAGGGTAAGGCTTAGGGTTATGTTTAGGGTAAGGGTTAGGTTGGGATAGTGATATCGCATGTTAAATGCCCCAATTTTCTGTCTTATGGGAAGCGTTGGAGTAGGCATTTAAATATAAATAAGAACATGTGTGCGCTACCATGTAATCTCCTGCCGATTTTTTTAAAAAAGCTTTTGTTTGTCACCACGAGGTTTCTCGTACTTACTTGTTTTCTGCAGCGGCCCCGGGGCATAGGATACATATCCGCCATTTGTCACTGGTCTTTTGGATGTTTTTGCCGCCCGCCGAGTCCCTAGGCCTAATATACGTGGGCAAGGTACTAGCGCTGCTTCTGGGTACTCATTTGAGCGTGCCAACTAAAGGACTTCGAGTATGCCAAAAGTGGATTTCGGAATTTGGTTGTAAGGTTGTCAGTGGCAACATGATGACAGATTTATAGTATATTGTGCCCCGGGACTAGCTGTCTTTGAAGTGTATTTGCCAAACTGCGCTCAGTCGCTCACCCGCCACCAACCTGGTTAACTTCTTACTCCGGTGGTTACCACTAGACTGTCAATTTTAATCAGTTAGCAACGGAACTTTCTAGGGCATCAGTCAAGAGGATTCAGATTAGTTTGCAGACTATGAGAACATTTAGGTAACTGGCTAGTAGGTGGATGGTTAAGAAGCCAAAATTGATGGTCAGTTTCGGTCGACGGTTTGGTGCGGCAGGCAGGTCTTTTATGAGTCATTACAAACGCGTCATGTGTGGGTTAAGCTAACCACATCCTTTGCGTACCTGCCAGGGTAGAGCCCCAAAAGAACTTGAAACTGGGCTCAGGTTTCCGGAAGAATTGAAAGTGCTTACAGATAG